AAGCACTATATAGGCAAATGCAACACAAATGACCTGAATGCCCCACCCCCAACCTGGCCATTATTGCTGCTGCAGAATCTCCGCCTACTGGTGCCCTGCGCCTTTGGTGCTGCCTGCATGCAGCTCCTGCAGCTCACTTGGGGCTCTGGTTTCAGAATTTTGTTCAAGAAGCTAGGCGGTGAAATCCGACTTGCTCTAGGGCAGCATTCTGGATTTTTACTCTCTCGCCAAACAGTCCAAAACAGAGGAGGTGTCCTTGACCACTAATCCATTAGCCAGTCCATAGTGTTGAATTGAATAGCGGCGAACTTCCTGGATTCCTGACCCCTCAGCTCCCGCCCCCTCTCCTTGTTTCTGCACAGAAGGCTGTAAGGAGCAGGAAAGAAAACATCCTCCTAGGCTTTTCCAGCAGCACTCTGAGGGGTGGGGTTGGTCCAGCCCTGCCATTCAAGGCCTTGAGGCAGAATCAGTGTCCTTGACCTTTCCCCATCAGTGCACCATCGGCCACCTGACTCCCAGGGCCTGAAAGATCCCTGTGTTCTGAGGTCTCTGAGAACTTACCCTTGGGCTGGCAAGCTCATTTCCTCAGCCGGGCTTCCGATTTCACGCCTTTCAAAACAAACCGTACCCTCGTGTTTTTATCAAACCCTAGACCTTGACTGTTGCCGATCTCTCCCCTCGTGGAAATGTACCAGTGGCTTCGAGTCTGTGGCAGATGCCATGGCTGACTTCCCCGTGGGCTCCGGCCATCACTTTCGGCTTGGCAGGCTCTGGCTGAACCCAAATTAATCTCCACTGTGATCCGTGCAGTGGAAAAATACAGCGGCTGCCTGGGGAACCTGCAGCCCAAACGACTCACTCACTTCCCCCAGCACCAGCACTCCCGCTTCCGCCGCCCCAGGAGAGCCAGCGCCACCACCCTCTTCCCCAGGTATCCGCCGCCTGGTCTTCAGGCCCTCCAGAGAAGGTCACTTTTGGCCCGAAACTGCTTTTCTTAGGGAAACAGACATGTGTTTCCTGTTGAAAGGGAAGATGCCTGAATTGTTAAAATGGCTGATTCTCCGTGGGAGACTGAAATAGAGACAAGCCCATCACTGAATACTGACAGTGTGGTGATAATTGCCAGCCACCTTCCCATTAGTGACACCTACAACACCCACGGGACAGAGGCGGCTCAGGGAGGTGAAGCAACAGCCCTTCGATGCTAGTTCAAGGGCGTACAGCAATTAGAGGACATTGCAGGCACTGGAACCTGGGTCTGTAAGAAGAGTGGGGAGCCCAGTCCTACTTCGGTCCAGAGGACAGCTTGAGGGAGCGGGGCAAGATGAGCTTTAGCCAACCAGGCGTCACCATGGGCTTTATATGTAATTTTGGGGCCTCAGTCTTCTCATCTGTAAAATGAAGAGAAACACTAGGTCCCTTTCCCCTCTCCTAGTGACCTCCTGCGCCCCAGGGTCTCAGTCCTCCCACCCCTAAAATGGCCACTTTGCCTTCGATCTAATGGGCAAGGCTCCTCCTGACCCCCTAATTCTAGGACAGGAAAATGTATCAATGCAAACGAGATGTTTCCCTGTGGTTTCCAGGCACCCATTATCCCTTTAGGATTCTCCCCACCCCAAGGCCTGCCTCCGCAGCATCCTTTCCCTTCCTTGGAAATTTTGCAAATCACCGCTAATTCGCTTTGAACTTGTAGCCTCCGGAGTCCTTTTCCCTCTCTCCCACCCCCGCCCACGGAGGGAGGGTGTCCTGGTGGTGTGTACACCTTTAAGGTGATATAAATCTGTGATCCTACAGTCCATCCCCATGGTAACGCGGAGGAGTTTCCCTTTTGTGAGGAAAGCTGTCCTGTCACTTCCTGCTGCTGACAAATCAGTTTAGGAGATTAAAATGCAGGGAGGCGGGGCGCTGCGGTTTCTGCAGAAGTGCTGGCCGCGGTGGTTTCTGGTTGCCATGCCCACGGCAAACAAAGCCCCGAGCGCGCGGGGGCAGCCCCTACTCGCTTTCTCACACCTGCCCGCCCGGTGGATCCAGGTCACCCCGCCACGTGTGTCTCTGCAGGTCGCATTCTGGGGAGTAGGTGGGAGAGCTGCCCACCTCTGGGGACTTCCCCGGGGCTCTGCGGGGCAGGCCTGTTGGAGAACAGCGTCTGGGGCCAGGCGGGCCTCTGCTACCCTCCCCGCCGCCCCGCTCCCCCGCCCCTGAGAACAAAGGGTGTGCACGTTGCTAGCACCACAGGGAACAAAAACGACTCTGCAGCGGAAAATACCATAAAACCTCCCTTTTCTGCACTGTGGCTTTTTAAGCTGAATATCAGGCCCTTTCATTCATCCATCCATTCATTCATCAAATAATAAATTATTGAGTGTCTACAGGCCCAGGGATTCTCTGATGCAGCACAAAGATCCTACTCTCTAGTAGCTAACAACTGGGGGTGGGCAGGTCCTATAAATAAGACAAGAAATCAGATAAGGATGAGGGCTATGAAGGTGGGATAATAAGGGGGGCTCCTTTAGATTTTGGCTTGAGGGGTGGCTAAGACTTGAATGCTCAGAACCCAGGTGCTGGGAAGAGGCTTCTAGGCCAGGAGGGCAGCAAGCTTGACCTGGGATCAGCTAGACCTGGGTTCAAGTTCTGACTCTGCCACTTAGTAGGTGGGGCTCACTGCGCATAAGTCTTTAAACCTCTGACTTTTAAAGGCTCTTTAAGGATTAAATGGGAGGCGGTCACCTCTGAGCACATCAGAGAGGCGTGGGAAAGGCTCCTTGTCCTCAAGTGACTCAGCTGGTGCCCATTCTGTCACTCGGGCAACAGCGCCCCTGGAGAGGTGGGTGGTCTTGGCCCCTGTAGACACTCGTCTGGGACTGCACTTGGCTCGGTAGGAGCTTGTGTCTGGAGACCGCCAGCCCCGCCCCATTGCCTGTACAAGGGGCGCCTTTTCTGGGCCTGGAGTGACCATCTCTCCTCTCCTATCCAGCTGGGTGAACTTCAAGCCCCTGCTCACCCACGCCTGGGGAGTCTCTGGAATCTCTGGGGTTCACTTGGGCTGTTTCGGGGAGACAAAGGGGAGAGGAATTAGACACTTTCTGGGAAGGGGCAGCAAGGGGTCCCGGGCCTTTGGAAGGCAGGTTGGTATAATGGCGATGTCACCAGTCCCTGCAGAACTGGGTCCCCACATTGTTCTGTGGGGGGCCTCACAGACACCCATCCCCCCAGCCCACCTTTCTTTCCGGTCCTGGGCCATCTTTTCCTGTGTACTACACTGCAAAGTTCAAGTTTAAAAGCTTCATCCAGGCAGCCACCAATGGACACTTGAGGTTGGCTGGCTCCTTCATTCTTTGTGCATTCATTCATTCATTCATTCAGTCAACAGAGTCATTCAACACCTCCTGAGCCGAGCAGGTCACCTTTGATTTTTCTTTTTCTTTTTAAAATTATTTCCTTTTAGGGAGAGGGGAAGGGAAGGAGAAAGGGAGAGAAACATCGATGTGTGGTTGCCTCTTGCACGCCCCCTATACACACCTCCTACTGGGGACCTGGCCCACAAGCCAGGCATGTGACCTGACTGGGAATCGAACCGGCGACCTTTCGGTTCACAGTCCGGCGGCATTCAATCCACTGAGCCACACCAGCCAGGGCCACCTTTGATTTTCGATACACTCCATATATACTCTTCAGAGCCTGTCTCTCTCTTTCTCCCTCTCTCCGTCTCTCTCTTTCTGTGAACTCGCCTCCCTCTCCAGGTCAGACTCACTCAGGCACATGATCCAAGGCCCTCCGGGATGTGACCACTGCCTTCATTTCCAGCATCATTCTCCCTGTCACTACTCCCGTCCTTCGCAGACGTTGAACCTTGTAGTTTTCCTTCTTGCTGCCCACACTTCTGCACATGCTACCCCTGTGGCTCGAATACTCTTCCCCCACTCAAAGCATGAGCAGACCCGTGAGGCTTTCTTCGACCATTAGACTCCCTTGTCTGCGCCTCCAGCTCCATCCCACGGATGAACCCAAGCGCCAGAAATACAACTACCTCCCGGGCCGAGCGGGTCACGTAAAGTGGGAACTGGGTCCCTGGACACTGTGGAGCCGAGGAAGCGCACCCCAGGGAAGCCACCGGTCAAGCTGGGAGTGTAAGTCCAGTGCTGTTGGACCTTCCTAATTTTTTTCAAGGAGCCAGGAATTTGTATTTTTGTGTAAAGTCTCCTGATTTCAGAAGCTGCGTGTGGGCCAAACAAAAGATCCGCAGCCTGACCCTGATCCGGCCCAGTGGCCGGGGGAGTGTGGCCGCCGCTGGCCACCTGTTTTTGAGTCTCTCAAGGTCAGCGCCCCCCCACCCCCACCCCAAGCCCCTGCCTTGTGCATCTCTGGGCCTCCCGGGACTCAGCCCAGGGCTTAGTGAGCAGCAGGTACTTACACGTGTCTTCTGACTGAAAGAGCGAGGGACAGTAACCTCCTGGGACGTGCTCAGTAGACATTCAAATCATGCCAAGAAAATTCTGAGACTTTGATCGCAGTGCCCGGGACGAAACTGATAATATCTGCATGGCCTTTGGTGGGTCACTTCTCCAAGCCTCAGGTTCCCTGTCTTTAAAAAGAGACTGATGAAAGTATTTTTTTCAATGAAATAATGTACATAAAATGCCTTGCACAGGACTCCACATACAGTAAACAATAAATGTTACCAATTTTATCATCATCACCCTCACCATCATTATTATTAGAAGGGAAAAATTTTTTAAAGGAAATATGGACATTGAAATGAACATCAAACTTTAATCCCTAGCCCGGGCCTCTCCCCTCACTGCAGACTCGTTTATCCAAACAGCCTCCTTGACACACCTATCTATTGTTTAGATAGACTTCCAGACCCAGCAATTCCCAAACCCTCGCCTTAAACCCCAAACCGCCTCCTGCAGTCTTCTCGCCTTTGTCAACGGCTATTACATCCTCTCATGAACGCAGCTAAAAAACTCTGGAACCTTGGCTGGTGTGGCTCAGTGGGTTGAGAGCTGGCCTGTGAACCAGAAGGTCACTGGTTCGATTCCCGGTCAGGGCGCATAACGCCTCAAGAATGCTGTCTTGCCTGGGGGCTGCACCCGCCCTGCCAGGCCAGAGCTGTCCCCCGAGCATCACAGACAGGGTGCCTCTGAGGACACATTCTCCTGGTTTTTGCTTCTCTGTAAGTATTTTTATTGACTTTTATTATTTAAAAATGTGTTCACTGGGCAAAGAATCCCAGTTTCAACCTTATTTTTTAACTACTTTGATGATACATGCCGTGGACCGCTGACCTCTGCTGTGTTTGAAGAAGCCGCTCATTATCTTAGTGTGGTCCCTGTGGGGGTAATCTCTTTCTTATTTTCTGGCTGCTTTGAATTTTTGCTTTCTCATTTATGTATGTATGTATGTATGTATATTGGGAGAAAGGGGAAGAGAGGGAGAAGGAGAGGGAGAGAAACATCAATCAGTTGCCTCTACCCAGCCGGGGCCAAACCCATAATCCTGGGCATGTGCCCTGACTGGGAATCGAACCAGTGACCTTTCAGTGTGCACGATGATGCCCAACCAACTGAGCCACACCAGTTAGGGCTGCTTTGTCTTTTCCTTGAGCAGTTTTATTACACTATGCCTTTCGTTTTCTTCCTATGTACATGGTTTGTGATTTGTGGTGCTTTTGAATCTGTGGCCTGATGTCTTTCATTCGAGAGTTGTCAGTCACGTGTCTCCGCTTCTATTCTTGTCTCTATGAAACAGTTACCTTAGTGTCTGTGGCCAATCCCTGCCTGGATCCTCTCGTGTTTGTATCTATCGCCTAATGTTTCCTTTGTTTCTAAGAAGTCAGAACATGATTTAATAGAACACATTCCCTCCTATCCCTGGTTACTTTGGATGGCAGGCGGTGCATAGGAAAAACTGAAGAGGTCCCTTGGCCCCGAGCGGCGTCACCCTCTGCTAGAGAGGGTTTGCCGATTGCGGCGGCAAGCGGGCTGGGAATCCTGATCGCGGCCAGACAGCGAGATGGCTGGAGAGGACTCGGCGAAGCCGGGTTTCCGGCTCTGTGCCGACTGCTTTACCCTTGCTCCAAGGCTGCCTCCTTTGCAGGGAAGGGGAGTCCAGCTAAAAGCTTGGGGAATTTACCAGGCACCCTCGTCTGAATTTCTTTTTTGGGTGATATGCAAAAAAAAAAAAAAAATCCTAGGGTTGTGCCGATTCCCTCTTGCTATGCCCTGAACTCCACCTCTGTCCGTTTGGACTCCTGTGTCTATTAAAAGCTCAGCCCCACCTCTTCACCGTTCGGTCTTCTATTTCAAACGCCCTTCAGACGCCCAAAGGCGGGTGCCCTGTGGGCAAACAGGCCCTACGCACGGTGCTCTTCCCTCCGGGCTTTCTTCTTCCAGACCCTGGTCCTCCCTGCCCCTTCGGTGCTGGAATGCCTTCATGTTGAAATATTTTGGAGCGTTTGGTCCAACCTTCCTAGTCCTCAGCAGGGGGGCGGTTCTGGATTATGTGGCCTGCCCTGCCCCGCCGGGAGTTAGACTTTCCAGAACCCAGAGGGAAACTTCTAACGCTTTCATAAAATCTACTGAACAGCAATAAGTGGGCTTCAGACCACTCCTCATCTCCCTGGGGACAGGGGTCCTTCCTGTGCCAGACTCTAGGGATCGAGGGCCACCTTCTCAGGCCATTTTCCCCTCCACTTGGATCCCTCTGCGGCTCCCACCGCCCCCCCAATGAAGGTGGGCGCCTCGCGCAGGCTGCACGACATGACACGCCTGGCCTTGCTGTTACGTCCCTGACCGCATCTTCCACCGCCCTGCCCCCTCAGTCCCCTCGCCCCGTCAGGCCGGCCCGTCGCTCTGCCCAGCACCGGCCAAGTTCACTTCTGTTTCAGGGACCCGCGCTCTTCCCTCGGCCTGCACCGACCTTCCTTCCCCTCTTCGGTAAAACGTCAGCTCATCGGTGGGCCGTTCCCTGACCACCGCCCACGTGCAGGAGCTAGCCCCCTGCCCCAACCGCCGCAGCCCCGCTTTTCCTCTGTTTTATGTCTCGGCACGGCACCTGCCACCACCTGGCCGTTGCTCACACGTGGTCTGGCTCCCCAGCAGCGTGCGAGGGCCCGCGGGCAGGGCCCTGGTCTGCGCTGTTCACTGGGGGCGGGGGTCCCCTGTCCTCAGCACCTAGTGGGTACCCAATCAATGGGATGGGTCCACGAAAGAACTTGGAACATGTCGAACAATTTCGCCTTTTTGGCGTGAGCCCTGGGCTCAGGCTAGGGGGAAGTGATTCTTTTTTTGCTCAACCAACCTCTTTCCCTTCCACATGAGGCAATTTCCCTTGGATACGTTCCCGTAACACGCAGCCGTGTGCAAAGAAAGTGTGCAAAACCACTTGGTGAGCAGGAAGCAGTGTGACCGCCTGGGCTGCCCACCTCTGCCACCCTGGGGCTCCGCGCCGGGAGTCTGGACGGACGGGGGTGGGAATGCCTGCTCAGGGACCCCCCTCGGGGCCCCGTCCTCCTACCGCTTCCTCCCTCCCGTGAAGGAGAATTCCCCACGGCGGGTGCCCGCAGCGCGCACAGTGGGGCAGCGGGTGATTCATGGGGAAGTCTGTAGGGTCGCTGGGGGCTCATGACTCACAGCCTCTCATCTAGAGGAGGGTTCGAGATCCACGCCAAGTGGCCTGGAAATGGCCTAGGCCAAGTTCTCGAGTGGCCTGCGCGGGGAGTCTCCCCCACGGAGCTCTCCACAGCCCTTCCTGGCACTCCTCTCTCCATCTGGTGCTCAGGAAGGTCTGGGGAAGTGCAGGGGAGAAGGAAGGGCAGCTAGGAGCCGACGCAGTCCCTGGCCTTGGGCTCTCCTGGCGAGTGATAGAGACTCATGGGTTGACCCACGAGTCCAGGGCACTGATCTGGGAGTGGGGGAGGTGCAGGGAGGAGCAGGTGGACAGGAAAACAGGTGTGAAGGTTTCCTGGAGAAGGTGGCCCTCCATCCCTCGAGTCTGGCACAGCAAGGCCCCTGTCCCCAGGGACATGAGGAGTGGTCTGAGCCCGTTTATTGCTGTTTAGTAGATTTTAGGAGAGGAAGAAAGGTCCCAGGCTTGTCCCTGGCCAGGCCTGCTTGCCCTGGAACTGAATTCCCAAGAGCCCCCGTGCAGGTCCTCGGTGGGGCCCTGCTCTTATGCGAAGGGACCGAGCCCTGGGCCTCCCGTGTGGGCCTTCCAAGTGCGGGCACGGCGGTGCCCCGAGGCCACAGAACTGACCCCCAGGGAAGAAAGATCGAGAAGCACTAGCTTGTCACAGACTTGGAAACAGACAAGGGGTAGCCTTTTCAGAGCGGCTGCTTTTGCTTACTAGAACGCATTGAACTTCCTTCCCTCCTGTGTCTTCTTGTGACTCGCTAGTTAATTTTGTCGAATGTTGGCGATTATGAAAAAAGCTGCTGTAAACATCCACGTTCAGGTTTTTGTGTGAACATAATTTTTCAGCTTCTCTGGGTCAATGACGAGGAGTACAGTATCTCAGTGGAATGGCAGGAGTATGTTTAGTTTTGTAAGAAGGGGACCAATGTCTCCCAGACTGGCTGTGCCATTCCCAGCGGCAGTGAATGGGGTCCCCCCGCCCCACACCCTCACCCGCATTGGGCGGTGTCGGTGGTTTGGGTTTTGGCGGGGCGAACAGGTGTGTAACAGTATCTCCTTGTTGTTTTATTTGCGTTTCCCTGATGACCGTTGATGCTGAGTATCTTTTCACACGCTCGTTCTTTCTGTCTCCTGTGGCAAGGCGTCTCTTGCCCATTTTAAAAATCAGGGTTTTTTTTTTCTTCTGGCTGAGTTTTAGGAGTGCCTCGCATGTTTGGGGGTAGCAGTCCTTCATCGCATTTGCCTTCTGTCAATACCGTCTCCCACCCCATGGTTCGTCTTCTCTTTCTCTTGAATCCGGTGGGCCTTTTTTGGGTGAGAAAAAAAAACACTTCTATTTCTACATTTCTATGTTGCTTAAGCCACTGTTAATGCCTGGCTTTTCTTGCAGCTGAACCTAGTTCTCACTAATGCATGAAGTCATACTTCTGCTTAGAACCTTCCAGTGTCTGCCTTTCACACCCAGAGTCAAGGCCAGCCCTTTCCGTGCCTCTGCGGGTGCCTGATGGGAGGGAGGAGCGAGGACGAGCTCTGGGGGTCCAGCGCTGATTGCCGATGCTTCTTCCTCTGTGTGCGACTCTGGGGAAGCCACCGCACTCGGGTCCCCCGTCTGCACAATGGGTCAGCGACGGAACGACCTCCACGGGCTGCCGTGAGGGTCAGCGAGGGACCGCGGCAGACACTGTGTTTGGCCCGTGGGAGCTGCTCCAGACACGTTGCTACCAGCAGATAGCACCGTTCCTCCGACCGCCTCAGCGGGCCACACTGATTTCCTTTATTTACCCCCAATAAACGGGGCTTTCTCTGTGCCTGGAACTCCAGTCACCACACCCAACACACACACACACACACACACACACACACAGCCAGGGGAGGCCGGCTGCTCCCCCTCCAAGGGTCCCGCCCGCCCCCCTTTTCTTCACCCTTGCATCTCATTCACTGACGTCATACCACCCTCCGCTCACGGAGCAGCTCGAGGCACCAGCACGGTCCTAGCTTCTGAGAGGGGTGTCCGACCTGCGGCCCAACACAAAATTGTACATTTACTCAAAACATTATGAGATGCTTTGGTGATTACGTCTCGCCACGCCTTTAACGTGTGGCCCAAGACAACTCTTCTTCTTCCAGTGTGGCCCAGAGATGCCAAAAGGTTGGACCCCCTCTGGCAGTGGTTTATACTGAGGCCCCTCGTCCTCGGTGTAAGCGTCTGTTGTCGGGCAGGGGCCGTGCCCTGCCGATCTTATTCCCACCCCCGGCTCTAACACAGGCCTGGAGCATAGTAGGTGCTCAAGAAATACTTCGGGAGATGGTCGAACCAACAGGACCGCAGGTGGTCGGGCCAGGGAGGCACCCTGTGCGAACCAGCCACCGGTGGAGCTGAGGTGGAGCCAGCGGCAGGGACCTGGCCCGGGTCGCAGTGTGCACGGGGCTTCCTGACTGGGACGCCTGTCTCCGAGCTCTGGACTGGTTGACCTTGGCAGGTGGTTCTCCTTCTGCTTTCTCTGGGACAGGGATGTGGCCTCTGCCCCTCGGTGGCTGGTT